CACGCGGACAGCTTTATCAGCAACGTACAGCCACAAGAGAAGTGACTGAGTGCAAAAACATCCACATGGACAGATTATATTAAAATTTCTATGTAGAAAGCAGCAGTTGATCAGTTCAACTTGCATCTCATTCCTTAAGCACGATTTAAGGGCAATAAGTAAATTCTACATCATGCATACCAAGTGATCTTGAAAGTTAAGAGAGTTGACAACAATACTCCGTAAAACATTTTCCACTATCATGTCCTAACAAAAGGAACACAAAGAATTAGAAAACTTCCCTTATTTGATTAGCTTAAAGCTCCTCTATAGAATCCTATTTTATGTTGTTAACACTCTATTTAAAAAGATTTTTCTCTTTCTTGTTTCACTTGGTATCAAATTCCGTCTTCCAGAGATTAATACTGAAGTCCTCCGCTGATGGAGTTGAGGTTCCAAAGTTAGCAGTTTATGCAGTCAAATTAATGGCTCACATTTAAGTTACCTTTTCTCAAAAAAAAATAAAAAATTAATGGCTCACATTTCCCATTCAACATCATATTATCACAGTATGAATTGAACAATGATCTGTTACGCTGACAGCATGATAGTCTTTGTCGTCAAGCTGGTAGCGTGCATCACCTCAAATCCAGTAAATTCTGATGTATGCACAAATTGTGTCATCGCCAAGTCAGTCTCATGCAGTGAAAAATCAGTTTGTCTCATGACTGGATTAGTTTCTTTGAGGGAAAATAGTTAAGTAAATCATAAGAACATCACATAGAGATCTTTTGTTATCTTACGATAAATAAGAATCAGAAGAACTAGGGAAGTTGTATTAATTATTAGCTCAAACTCATATTCAAAAAGAGCTCTCATGTATGTCATTAATCACGCAACTCACAAGAGTTTCTTTTTTTGAGGATATCAACTCACAAGAGTTTCTCTATCTTCTTTTCTCTCTTTACATAAACATTAATGGTCACTATATGTTCAGTTTCCATTTTTTTAACTTCTTTTTTTAATTGCCAACAAGGAGCTGGTGCATTCAACTGATTAGGGAACAAGGTCCATCCACATGTAACTTGGTCTTTAAACACTACCAAAAGCAAGTTGTTTTCCAGCGCCAGTGTAAGCAGAATACATAATAGTTTAAAGTTCAAACTTGAGAAGTTTCGGGTAAATGAACTCATGTTTGTTCAATCAGTAAGATCGATACAAGATCACATAAAACAACACATGAAAGATACATCAAAGTTGAAATTTTGGAAGTCTACCATGATCCCGCTCAGACATAAAACAAAGGAAATCAACTAATGTGCAAGCCTAACTATGAAGGACTGTGATAGAAAAAACTTAATGAAATTCTACCGACATGGTCAGAGGCGGATGTATGTAGCATATGGTCCTTTCAACGCATTGAATAAATTTATATATGAATTTCCATGAAAATTGCAACAAATAATAGATACAAAAACCTATAACTTCAAAAATATAATAAGGTTCAATCCTCAGAATCTTAAATTTTGAACGCTTTTTAAACTTAAATCACTGAACCACCTCTATACATGACATGCACTTGTAATTTTCATGTCAAACAAACAAAACACAGATGAAAACGCCAAATTGGATACAAAACGTTCATTAGTGTTGGGTAACGTCTTGCAGATCCTTTCTGCACAACTCTAATTATTTTTTTTCAAATTAATCATTACTCAATAAAGTCATAAACATAATAGAAAAAACTAAATCAACCAAATTACAAACTCGAAAAAGAACAACAACAACAAAAAAAAGGTTTGGATAATAGAAGGTCACCTGCAAAACGAAAGGCCTATTGAGTGCAGCCAAAGCAGGGGCATGGGCCCCTTCTTCTACTAAATGACGCTTTCTTAGGGCCTTTAAAGCATGCTTGATGGCTTCTATAGCAACTTCTTCGTATGCCCTAACTCAAAAACAAAAAAAAATCTTCAAAATTGAAATGAAATTGAACAAAATCAGCTTTGGGTATTGAAAAAAACTCAAGATTAATATGCTTAAAACTTACATATTTGATCAATTTGCCAAATCACAAACTCAATTTGCGAAATTCAGATTCGTAAGGAGCTAATTATGGATTCAATTTTTCTGTAGCAGCTGACCTTGGTTTTTTGGTCGGGCCGGGTCGACCGTTTTATAACGATCTAACCAATCTGGTTCCCAGTGAGATCATATTTGACCTTTTCATTTTTGAGGTATTTAAAACTTTTTTTTCTTTCTTCACTCGGTAGACATCTTAAGAAAATTTATTATTATATTACCCATTAAATATACTAAATTTGATAAACTGAAAATAATTGAATAATATTTAATATTAAGGGTGGAATAAAGATAAAATGATAAATTATTTCTTAGTTTTTTTAAAAATTGAATAATTATTTTTAATACAGTGAACAAGTAAACATCTCTTATCAAAGAGAGAGTACAACTCAGAAATATTTCACCATTTATATCACAGTGATAGATAAATTATTTCATCTACCTATTGAGATAACTTATTCCAAGATAATTAATCCTAGAATAACTCGTTTCCAGCCAAACAACCTTTTTATAGTCTTTGATTTCTTAATGTGACGCTTAATTTGAGAATAAATTTTTTTGAAAATAATAAACCCAAAGTTGTGAACACGACTATACATACACATGAAAATTATCAGCACTTTATTTTTCCACAAATAATGAACTGTTCATATAGTGCATATCCACAATCCAATCAATATCAATTAAAGATGTCTAAAAAACATAAGCTTAATGTTATAGTGTCAGCCCCTTTTGGCATGATGTTTATATATGGATGATACTCATTTATGGCTTCACAATCACTATGATGACCAACATTGTGCTTTAAGCAAACTAAAATCAACAATGACACTCATGATCCTCACTGAAATCTGATATTACTGAGCAATCTTTGAACTGATATCATTACCAAATACATATGATTCCACTCTTATCTGAGGTAGCCAAAGGATTACCAAGACCACTCCATGAACAACTAAGTACAGAGTATGTGTGTTCTTTCAATGTTCTTACCATTTGACCAAATAGGAACAGATCCATCAACAGAACCTGCAGTAACATAACCGTCATCGGCACTAATACAGGATCGGCTCCCATTAGATGCAACTCGATTTGCATTTGATCTGAAAGTGCCACAAATTTTAATTTCCCGATCCTGCCCACCGCTTATCAATTTACTGGACTTATACTCAAAAAGAATCGAGGCACATCCACCATCATGGGCGGGGATCCTTTGCCTGCATGTACTAGAAATGGAAGACTCAAAGTAAGGTTCTGCAGCATCTTCAACACTTACGGACGAGGAAAATTCTGTATACTGGCGGTCTTGAACTTATCAAGCATATTTTCTTAGACTAGCAACACAAAAAATAACAAATAAGAAAATGCAAGAGAAGGTAAATCATTGTAAAACATATAAAAGTACTGACTGAAAATATAGTTCGCCTAACCCTATTATTCTATTAGGAGAATTGAATAAATGATCATTGGATTAGCCAAACTTGTCAAAGATTTGAATTTTGTTCAGATTACAGGGTAGATTTGCTGTAAAATAACTTGCTAAGAGATGGAGCTCGCCTCCTCGTTTTGGTGGCAGAAAAACATGATTGAAAGTTTTAGAATGGAGAACTACTACCAAACAGTCACTAGTCGGGCTCTGTTTGTCACCTAGACCCTTCTACTCACGACTTTAATAATCGAACACTTAAAAGTTATTCAAACACGTTATTTTAAACCCTTTGACTGTTGACCAAGTTTATGTGGTATCTATTTGGATGAAATGTGTGGCCACACTCGTTTAAAAGCAAGTGAAAGACAAAAAAATTAATTAAAAAAATTCCCCTTCTTTGACTTATTTCCCCATTCTTGTACTGTTACTCTTCTTCTTCTTCCTCATAAGTTATCACTGTCTCCCTCCGCTCTCCCCCACTTCATTTCTCTTTCTCAAATCTTCATCCTTTTTCTATGATACTTGTTTTTTCCTCTTCGAGACAGAAGAAACAAATAAGAGAAAGCAAGATTGAAATGACAAATAGATGACAAGGTTTAGAAGAGAGAAAAAAATAAAACTCTTGATTGAAAGATTAAAATTTTCTCGTACTTTTAATTTTGAAGGATCTTTCGGCCAAACAACTCGTCAGCGTTGATTTCTTGACAAGGACTGTCTCAGCGGTGGCTATCTATGAATGAAGTGGCCGGAAAGTAGTGGGCGGAGAGATATTTTTTCTGACGAAACAATTTTAAAATCACATGTTTCGGTAACTTTGTGAGTAGAAAGGAACGTAGCCAAATACGAGGGTTCCAGGTGACAAACATAGCCATATACGAGGGTTGCAGGTCATTCCACCTTAATAAAAAGGCAAAAGATGCCATCTATCATTCATTGAATATATTAGTGTGGCATATTTTTTAATGTTTTACCTGAATTTTACCACAACTTTTTAGTTTCTGTTTTTTTTAACTTTATTTGTTAAGTTGTTTTAAATCGACTTATTTTAGATAATTTTAAATTAAAATATCTTTTAAATAGTTTTAAAGTGCTTGAATAAAATTAAAAAATACATATAAATATTTATTTTTAAATTAAAATAACAAAAATAAGTCAAAAGTATAAGTTAGAAATTCTAACTGATGCTAGAAATTCTAACAGAGGGCTTTTGGCTTATAAGCCAATCCAAAAATTAAAAAATGTTTCTTCCTCATAGGTTTGCCTTCTTTTTACTTTCTTTTTCTAACAAACCTTTTGGATGATGGTGATGACATCATTTTTTATTTTGTGAAGTATAAAACTACTATGAACTATTTAAAATGTATTAAAATTTTCTATAAAAATAAGACATGTTAATTAATATCTAAAAATTAGGATAATCATTCTAGTTACAATTTGAGTTTTTGAGGCTCTACTATCTTATCATAAAAAAGATCTTATAAGAGACGATTCATATTTAACATGATAATTAATATTCAAACACGTTGAAGAGTCCTGGACATAAGATAAATTATTTATGTTCGATCTTTACATCAAATTAATGATTGCACTATATATGTTATTCATATATATTTGCATCAATTTATCATAGTTAGTTTTCTTTTTTTTTCTTATTTGTTTCTCCGACTGAGCACGAAATTTAAGAATATTAACTATACTTACATAACAACATGAAGTTTTCTTCAAAGAAGACTTGCAGTAAATAGATAGTGATCCTCCTTGTGTACTGATGTAACATCCTGAGGTTTAATTTGTTCACAAAATCTGAAAGTAAATGTAACCAATGCCTTTTAGACTTGCCTAATGGTTAACAGTACATTTTTAACACAAAGAAAACTGCACTTTTTAGCAGATGATCAGCAGAAAAACATTGTATCGCGCACATTTTTGTGCAACATTGGCAGTTCAGGCCCCTCAGTCTTCATAATTTCTAACATCTGAGCTGAAACCAAACGAGCATAACGAATTGGAGCCACTGCAAAACATCTTAGTCATTCAGAATCAAAGGGGGGAAAATAAATGCAAGAGAAGCAGCCTACTCTTTTACTCAGGCCACTGACTATAGTTCTTACCTTCAGATATAGCACTGGTGCATCTCTGAGACCTAAAATGTTTTCCAAATTCGAACAATCAGTGAAGTTCAAAGAATTGAGTAAAATTCAAGCATGACCACGGGGAACTTACACGTAACATAAACAATGGACTAGTTCCTGCACAGTATCAGATGAGAAACCTATTTCATCCAACAGCACAAAGTAGTGAATTGGCCTGCTAGTCCCCTGCATTATTTTTCTACATTATATAGTGAATAAAGGAAGAAGCTATGCCTGATAGGACTATGCATACGACAAAGTGTTGCTTCATGTTTTCCATCCAAAAACTGTTTTTTTAGTGAAATACTTACAACTCTTGCCGCATGTGCACATATGTAGAAGTTGTTATTATACAGCGGATGACAAATTTTAGTATCAACGACTGTTCCTGTCATTAGAAAAGTAGAGTTGTAAACTGTATTTATTTGATGCTGTGCTGGTGGTTTTACTAGTACTAGTATAGTTGTTGGCATGTGAAAGCTCACCAGGAGGAATATTGTCACTGGAATTAGGTTGGAACAACTTTGTGTGATGTCTTCTTTGTGCAACAATAAGAGTGAACTTAGGAGACCAAGTCTCATCCAGGAACTTACAGGCCTATAATAGTCCATAAAGTGGATTAAGAACCTCAAGAAACAAGGCAGAATCTATATACACCTTGATCAAATGAGTTTACAGAACAGACCTTAATAATTTCCTCCATTTCGCTAAAGATATGATTGAATTGAGATTCACCTAAACCTTGTCTGAAAAACTTTACATTAGCAAAACCTTTTACAAGTCTTTTATGAGCCAAATCTAATTAGCTTCCCTGAGGTTTCCTCAAGGATTTTGAGGTATAGCTATGTAAACAAGAAGTAATATAACGACAATAAACAAACAATGATATTAGAAGATTCTGCACCTGAATATAATAATCTGTTCAGGCTTCCTATTCCCTGAACTTGCATGAAAATCCATTAGGAGCTCCCTAGCACAAACAAAAAATGTAGACTAAGAAGCGTTATATGACCTAAATAAAACTTCTGATATGAATCCCAACTTCTTCATCCTTGATTAGTCCAAGCAAACCAAACAGAAAATGAAGGATTTTTTTAAGGTGCAGGGGAGAATCCCTACCTGATCATGCCTGTGTCCTCCCTATCTGAAACTGGTCTAAAGAGAGAATGTATAGTTTCGGTCTTTGGTGGTTGGATACAAGTAGATGCTCTATAGTAAGAAATCATCGGCCACTGTCTAGAACCGACCACCTAATGCACAAATATGGAGAGATTAATATAAAATTACAGAAAACTTGACTGTGCAAAATAGCCTTGCCAAACCAGACTGTTACAATAATAGGACTTACTGCAGCAACGGAGGGTAAATCTGACCGTGAAGAAGGGGCATGCGTAAGACCCATTGCTAAGATCATTGTGGGAACTTTAGAAACTAAGGGGATAGTCTGTGAAACTTCTGCTGATAACATAGAATTCAGACCACCAAGCTGCAGCACAACCAAACTTTTAGAATTTTTATGAGTGATCAACATATATGTAAAGAAGCGATTAGTGTCCCATACTTTTGCATTAATTTTTAACATAACATTAGCAAGATAAGTTTCATCAACTTTGTTCTTTGCAATGCACTGGTTACGAATTCCGAAGGTCATAAGACACTTTTTCTTCCATGGACCTAAGACAGTCAAAACCATAGTTGAGTCATACAAATACTAATAATGTGAAAATAGTATATCTGACTGATATACCATATAAATTAGAAAACTTTGCAGGAAGAAAGCAAAGAAGGAATCGAGGAGGATCCTTGCGAAATTTTGGAATTATTTGTTCAAACATCTTGTTCACTCGAACAGATCCCGGTTTCTTTTTATGCTTAGCATTCTCTTCGAAAACAAATGATGGTGGATGAATGTGCTGCAACAAAGACGAATATATACGCTATTCAGTGAATAAGTAGAAAGGTTTGCATGTATGTCAAATATCTGTAAGAAGTCAGTCATATCACCATTCCTCTCATTGCACCCAATTTCGCCATTTCAATGCAGAAAGCACGTATGTCATGACCAGTAGAGAAGTTCACCACAGCCCAAAATTCAATGCTTTTTGGATCTGCAAACTTCTGCAGGAGAGGTTAATGATATCCTCCTCAATCAGAAAATGAACATATTAGATAAAATGTGGTGCATCACCTTGCCGTTAAAGCTCCAGCGCGAAAATCTTGAAGCAAGATATTCCTTGTTTCCCACTCTCAACTAAAAAGTGAGGCCATTATGAACTATAAGATGTCAATATAAATATAATAGTAATAATTTTGAAAAGGAGGTAAGATGTAACACTATATACTACCTGTGGAGGAAATAGAACTCTTCCCTCTACTTCAGTATAAGATTTATTAATTGAGATTCCACAAGCGCGCAGCATAGGGTCTGTGTTATAGTCGTTGGCTTTAAGTTCCTATCAAGGCAAGAAAAGTGTTTTAGATTGTGTAACCAAAATCCTGAAAATATGGTCAATCAGAAAAAGTATGTGAAGCTACCTCATTTAAATGCTTCATGAGCTCTATCGGCTTTTGGCTCGAGTTGTTCACTAATAAGGATCTTTGATGTAAGGATAATTCCTTTTTGAATCGTTGTAAGGGAACCAACGAACAGAGCTAGTGAAATATTCAAGAATATACATGATTTTTCCAAGAACAAGTATCTTTCAAAAAAGTAGGATAACGAGAAAAACAGAAGCAAATAAAAGCTACCACACCTCAACAGGAATGAACTGGGGTTTGTGCTGGCTCCCCACATTGATGCATGGCAAGTTTGATGAATAACCGAGTTCTATTCCACATCTCCTAACAAAATATTCATAAACAGTTATCTCAACAGTCTGGCCATTGTCATTTTGATTATTGGATCCCCTCAACCGCAGAAGAAACCTGTTCAATAAACAGCATAATGGAAAGAGAAATAAATTAATAGGATATTACAGACTAGAACAAATAAATCTAAAAAATTTAGAAGCTGAGAGCTTACTTCTCCTCTTTACATGTCCTGTTGCTAAGTCCAGTGATTTTGTGTTCTCTATTGGAGTGTAATAGCTTAATTCTGAGATTTTTCAAGATTTTTGCCTGCAGCGGTAGAAACTAGAAAATTACACACAGTTTCAACAAATCCAAGAGAGTGTTTAAAGCTGAGGCGACCTTAGTCCAGTCGATTTTGAAGGGAATTTCCACATTTTGGTTGGCCATTAAAAAGTTAACTAGTGGACCTGGCTGTATAAGTGTTGTAGTAGATGTATCTGTCCAAGTTCGGTACAAAGCATCACTGAAACTGTTCCAAATGTTTCGAAAGGAATACAAGGACCCAAAGGGAAGTGCATTAACTTACCAAGGTTGAAATACAATCCACCTTGAACAGATTGGAAACTCGAATGAAAACCTCGGCATCCAAGGATACCACCAGTCAAGTCCATGAAGTTCTTCATCTCGTTGGGGAAGTACGATTGGCGGAGCAGAAGGCTGTTCCTGTCGAGGACCAAAAGAGGGAAAGAAAGTCAAGAGTGGTTTGATGGCTGGAAATAGCTTTTGTGGATCAGTATGCAGTATGCACCTTTTTGCATTAGAGTGTTGCAAAATGGTGTCTAATGCTATCAGAACTTCATTGTTTCTTGATTTTACTCCATGCTTTCCATCAGGCATTGTCTTAAAGGGGATGATGGAAACAAAGTTTATCTGTATTCTGAAAGTTTTGAATCGGGATATAATCTTCTGCCTCTTTTGATCACCCTCACTTAATTCTCCATCGCCACTAAGGTTGCCATCCGTCTTCCACCTAAAGTCGAAGCCAATCATCCCAAAAAGCAAAAGGAGAGAGAATATTAGAGGAAGAAATGATGCTAGATGAAATATTACCCGCTCTACGATCAAATGAAATGCTTAAAGACTTCATATACCTTTTTGATGTTGCAGCATCAAGTACAACTGTGAAATCTAGCTTCTGCTGTGGTAAAAGACTAGTTGTGAACAAGCTCTGTTGCCCATCAGAAGCAAATACTTGCTCTCCTAACTCAGAGCTGTATATCTCCCAGAGTTTATGAATCACTTTTCTAATTAAGTTGCTTCCAGTTACAGGGTCCCCATTTTCATATAGGATATTAACCTTTCACGAGTTAAAAGAGTCATAATTAGCTCCGCAAATTTAACTTCCACGTAGTAATCAAACCAAGAAAAAAGGAACTTACATTGTATGAATATAGTTGGCTTATGCCACCTTGAAAGCATACTCTAAAATAATTTGTCAGCAGACGTATCTTCTTTCCCTTGACCCCCGGACGAGGTCTGTTCATCTGATTAAAGTTTGGCAAATATGGGAATAACTCCTTAGACACCATTGACTGCTTCCTAAATTGTACAGAATACAGCTATATCATCTTATGAAAGCATAAAAGAAATGAACAAACTATATGACGAATTAGACCATGTAGAAGTATAATCATGCTTCATCAGATAATCAAATGGAAATACTCGAAAGAAGATTGTGAGAACAAAACAAGCTTAATATATTCACTTACTTCTCGTATTAGCTATGACGACAACAATATGCTCTTATATCATATTGAAAAGAAAAGAAATTTACCTTGAGATGAACCACCTTTATAAGATGAGAACAACAAGCAAATGAAGTTTCAAACACTTAACTGTTTGGTGAATGTTTTCTTCATTTATAGTAGTCTTAACATACACTTACTGAGGAAGAGCTGATAGTACAAAAGGATAGAAGGTACAGAGATTCATCTTTATCCAATGATTATTGATGTTCTTGCTCCTTTTCTAGCGAAAGACGTACCATAGAAATTCTGGGCAGTTTCACATGTTTGGTGTACTTCCAAAAGGTTAACAGATCATTTGAGACATTCATGTGCAAAGTATGGTACTTGTTTCTGCAGATATGAGTAGTGCAATATTCCAAAAGACAGTAAAGGGATGCATGCAAGGCTGCAATACCATCCTCTCCAAATCACACACACCTTTCACTCCCAATTTCTCTCGACTACTTCATCAAGGTACCAGATTCTTTCCAATAACACAAACACTGGGTAACTCGTCTTACCAAAGCTTAAACAGATGAGAAGAAATCACTTTACCCGACGATAATTATGTTTTTCCTTTGAGTAAATGTCCTTCCATCAACACAAAGTAATTAGTACCATGAGTTACCCAACTAACTAGTTGCAGGTTAAAACCACAAAAGTAAGCAAAGGCCTACACAATTGAGAATTTCTTGTTACTACTACTATTTAGGGACAAAAACTTTAAAACCCCTAAACATGAAGATATACTGCTAATAAATTCAGCAATGCGGCTTGATCAAACTCAAAACTGTAATGAGACGCCAAACTATATTTCTCATTTGTTCTTTTCATAACAGAAAGAAGAAGCACAAAGAAGAAAAGAAACAGATAGGCTCCGTTGAACATTAACTAAATCACACCCGATAACCATAAATTAATTGTTAAGTTGTTGCACTATTATACTCCCCCACAATTGACTTGAACATGAAATTTACAAATATATCAACCAGCTCTTATTCTATCTAGCCAGTCCACACTTTTTCGCGCTTTTTCCATTTGCTGGTCGATGCTTCTTCGAGGCTTCTCAAAGAATTCCACGCTCCTCCTAGACCTCTCTACTTGGTCAAAAGACATCCTTAACTTCGAAATTTTATCATCATTAGCATACTTGTAGTCGTAGTTTTTCAACTTTTCCGGCTTATCAGTGCTTTTTCTTGGTTTCTCCCTCCGATCAGTGCTTTTTCTTGGAATTTCATAACAGTCTGTACTCCTCCGTGATTGTTCAGGCCTGTCAACGCTTTTTCTTGATAAGTTTCTCTGAGAAGGTGGTTTTTCAACTGTAGATACAAACTTCTTCAGATGTCTAATGTATTCGGGGTATAGTTCTAAGTCGCAATGTGTTCCCCCTTTGAGCCATAATGGTTCATATTTTTCCTGGCATAACTCCCATAGCTGTTTCCCATGGGAGCAGTCAACAACTTCATCAGAAGTGCCCTGCACGACATGAAGAGACTCATGTAAAGACTGCAGAAGTTAATTACTTTAGATGAGAATACAAATAAAGCTATTGAGTAACACACATGCAGAGAAGGGAAAAAAATAAATAAATGGGAGTAGGCAAATCCGATGATATAAAGCTTGAATAGAGTAGAATGGATATAGAGGATTCATACGGCTTATCCCAAATAGTTGGGGACTGACACCTAGTTAATTAATCGATTGAACTGCTCAACAATAAACATGTTTCACTTCTATCTTTTTTCCCATCCCAGTGGAGACAGGGTGGAAGTATAAAACCATTTCACGAAACTCCAGTAATGTACTGGCCTGACTGTCATTTATTATTTCCTGTTAAAACCTCTTGTTTCCCTCTTGAATGGTTAAACACGGTCCTTCAGGCTCAGTTTCTTCCTAGTAAACCACCATAATGTCCCATTACACAGAGCCTCACCATGCATGTTTTGCATTATCTATCAATATTTTGCCAGTTAATTATTTTAAGAAGCTCATTTATTGCTACCACCACACAATTTACTATAGAAAACTGGTGGGTACATGACGAAGTTTATACTTACATGAATGATCAGGACAGGGCATTTAACCAATGGGATCTTGTCAATGTTCTGCATAACGCAAAAATAATTCAAGTTCAGCAACGGAATTTTTAGTAAGTACTATTTTATAACAAACACAAAATAACTACCAGGCACAGGAAGGTGAATCTTACAGCTATAATATGAAAGAGTTGACTAGATCAATTGAAAGCTATTTTACCTTATAAATGTCAAACCAATATGTGCGTTTGACAGGATACATGACCCTTAAGCCTGACAGGATTGGACTATGCAAAATAACTGCTCTAAGTCGAGGCAAACGAGCAGCAAGGTCCGCGGTGGGACCGCTTCCAACAGATTGTCCATAAAGGATTATATCTTCCTGCTTTGCGCCATAACTCTCTTCAAGACACTTGTATGCAGCTTCAATATCTGCGTAAGTGTTCTGCTCACTTGGCTGCATAAAACATTTGGAGATCAAAATTCAATTCATGCACTTTAGCACTTAATGCAGAGACTACCTTAAGTATTCCAGGAAAATTCTATTGCCAATTACCTTGCCAGATGACTGTCCATAGCCAGAGTAGTCATACCTACATCATTAAAAACACAAAACAAAGAATTCATAAGGGGATGTATACCTAAGCTATCTTCCGACTAATTCATTAGCTCAATGAAGAGAACAGTTAATCTTATTTAATTGTGCTAGATCCTATGAGGAACTAGACAAGATACATGCCAGATCCCTGAACTGAGAAATGTTTGAACAGAAAAGATGAAACTTGTTTGAGTTCAAAATCATCAACTAGCAAATGGATCAAGCATCTCGGATACCTCTAAGATTTACTTACTGAAATTGTCATCTGTTGGTAGAAACTTGAACTAACATCAGCATACTCATTACTAATAAATATTTTTTCTTTTTTAGAAAGATGACACGAGATTAAGAAAGTAAACTTTACAGAACCCCAAATAATGTGAAAATGATGGGAAATTATACCCAATGGGACATGCTTGTAAGGGGCACATACCGAGATTCGCCAAAAATCTTGTGGTGTTAGTGAGAGGGCCTATCTTTAAAGACATGTAGGTCAACATACCCCATTCTGTCAAATGAAATATCCTAGAACAGAATTGATTTTTCACGAGTTCTGTAAAGGTATTATCAGCAGAACAGAAAAGAGGGAAGTTGATTGCTCCAATAGAAGCTTGCTTTCATACATTTGTGACCAAACATTCTAGATGACCTTTAATAGGGGTAAGTTCCAAGGGGGAGCGATCAATCTACACAAAACCCTCTCAGTATCTCTCAATTGAAGTAGTCAAACCAAGCCACACAGGAACCATTATTTACTAAAGCAAGACCAATGCTGAAAGGAAAAGCTTATCATCAAACATAATCAGTCTTTGCTTCTCTCTCAGTCATATATGCCTATTTAAGGGCATGTTGCATCATAAACCCCTTTCCTAAGCGATGAAAAATAAAAATGATTATAGCAATCTCGAGAGGTTCTGGACTTCTACAGAACACATAATTAGAAAATAAAAACCACCAAGGAAACCCATTATTCTGAATTTATGTTTCTTCTTCTAAAATTAATCAATACCAACATTTCCATCAAATATCCTAGTCAGGGTGTTGTTGTCAAAGAGAACTCTATTCAAGATTAAAGTGGATATTCCACATATTTCCTTCTTTTTTTTCTTTTTTCTCATAGTATGCATAGGAAGAAAAGGACATTTATCTTCCCAAAGTAGTACATAGGGCTCCTTTTAAGTTATTAATCTTTCAAGTTCATGAAGATTCAGAGTACATATCTCAAAAGTCAAAACTAAAGTATTGGCAAAAAGGGATCCCTGGAAACTACACATCAAATTCATAAGAAGACATTCTTTACCACTAAGTGTTGTATGTTTATCCCTCAACAAGGAAAATTTGGCTGTATCTCCGCATTCTAAATTTCATTGTTTTGCAAAGTACACTGCCCCCATATCCAAAGCCGGAATTGTTCAGAGAATGGAATGGAACTCCACATATATAAATCAACCTTTAATCAAACTGTAGTTGAAGGTCATATAGCTTCGTAGTACCAAAGGCAGTGATTTCACCACATCTAGCTGTTTATTCGCATACACTGTACTGGTATATTGGAATTACCTTAAATCCATTACATGAGACGTCAGCCTCGTTGTTTTTTACGCCACCTTTACATTTATGGAAGTAGGTATTTCTCGCATCTTTCCCTTTTCAAACACTTCAAATGAGGGAATTGGTGTCGATTTCTACCTCTAATTGTATTTCACTAGGTTAATAGTTAGCAGTTTAGATCCAACACTTTGCTTTTTCGAAGTCGTTAAAAGTCATCTTCACAAACACCACCTTGGAGACTGTCCTGGACCCGTAAGTCCTTTCTAACACTATCACTAGCATAAAATCCAGAAGAAACAAATAAATCACTTCTAATATATTTGAATTATACATAGATGAGTGGGAAAGGGGAAAAGTAGAGGCCTTTCCTAAATGATGGTTAAATAAATAAGGACAAAAACTCAAAAGAACCATATAGGGTTAAATTTAATATGCATCATGAAATTAAAGCATGAGATCACATAGGCAAAGATTCAATTAAAGACCAAGTCTTCGAAATTTGACAACTCCCAAAAGCCAAAAATTCACATTACTGAAAAGACAATTGGATAAAACACTGTTTTAATTGCTGAATCAAATCTAAAAACATCCATTAGCATTAACCATTAGCGATAGCAGCCTGAGAGAAAAGGCTCCATCTTGATATTGCCTCGTAATTTATCAGAAACAGTAGACCCAAGGAATTGTTTGTTTTACTGTAGCATTCTAATTTTCTGCAAACAAATTTGGCAACTGAAACTGCAAATAGAAAGAGAATAAAAACCCTACCCCATGAGATTGACTTTCAGATGGATGCTAAGCTGAATAAAAAGCTCATACATCTGTCCAATATCAGCAGCGTTTCCGTGCGAGTAAAGTAAAGTGGTAGTAGCCATAGGGTACCGAATATAAATTGCGAGGATCTCGTTTCCCCTTCGAGTAGGAAGCTTCAAAACGTCAACATTTTCCCGGTGAGGAAAAGTATCAAGCAGCAACAAACCAGTAAGTTGATCAGTAACCACCCTGTATGAAGGCGGATTAGGTGGGAAGAAAGCCAACTTGGCCGCCATGGAGGAGGTTACCCCACCCATATTTAGGAGTAGAAGAAGAAGTTAGTTAATTGGAATGGAAGAGAACATTAGGTGTTTGCAGGGAAGAGGAAGAAGAGATAAAATAATTACTCAGAAAAGTGAAAGGAGTGACCCAGCTGTGATGTAAACTATTCATTACACAATTGCCTCATGTGCATGCTTACTTTTTTGTGAGCTATTAATATGGTTTTCTGCTTACTATTTTTTCATTATAATAATAATGCCTCATTATCACTGTTTATCGAGTTATAATACATAAATATGATCGTTGATTTGGTATTAGTTGAATTTTTAATTATTGAATTTATATAAAATTAAATATAAATATATTTGTCCGACATTACACGTTACATTATAATTTTATATCCTACCTAATTTTCAAATTTTAAGT